TCTCTAAAACTACATTCCAAAGGGTCAATTAAGATCATGCAAGATTAATTACAGTTTTACTTATGTTTAAAACAAAATGTGGCTTACAGATAAACAATAAGGCCTGACTTCAGTTACTCCCATACCCCCAACAAACAGGAGCACATTGTCTCTTTACCTAGCTCAGGGTCAGGTCATCCTCTCTGCCATCACTTATCAGCTCTGTAGCACTGTCCCCCCATTGTTCATCGATTTTCTCAAGCAGGTACCAGTAACGTCTCCATTGTGAGACTTGTTACTCTTTTTTGGCATAACAAATATGCCAAGGGGAGCTTGCCAGGCTCTGCCATGCGGGTGGGATACTCTTGGTAGCTTGCCGGGCTCCCCGAGAGGGATGGAGGAATTGAACCTGGGTCAGCCGCGTACAAGGCAAACACCCTCCCTGCTGTGCTAGTGCACAAGTAGTTGTAAATTCCAGGGTCTGTTAGGGATTCACCACAGGGTCTCTTAGGGATTTATACTGCCTGTATAGATGATTGCTCTTATGTTTGGGGGTTCTGACTCTTACAAGCCTCTAACCCTTTTTTGGTCCAACAGGGTATGGATGATGTTTTCTTAAATTATGAAATATTATGGGCTGGAACGATAGCACAGTGGGTAGGTCGTTTGTCTTGCAAGCGGCCAACATGGCTGACCGAGTTTGATTCCTCTGCCCCTCTCTGAGAGCCTGGCAAGCTACCTAGAGTATCTCTCCCGGATGGCAAGGCCTGGCAAGATACCCGTGATGTATTCGATATGCCAAACACAGTAACAATTATCACAATGGAGATGTTACTGGGCCCACTCGAGCAAATCGATGAATAATGGGAGGACAGTGACAGTGACAACATTGCTAGTACAAAATGCCTGATCAGAAGTTACCCAGGATCACTTGGGTCAGTGTGTTTAAAATACAAGTATCTTCAGCCCAAAACGAAAAAATAAAAGTGTTTGGAGACATCAAGGAGAGCGAAAATACTCATTTGCAATAATCAGACTGATGAATAATAAACCCAAACTTCTGATTTAGTGATGCTAAGAACCTCTGATCTGTCAGGTTAAGTTTCAGGGTTAGTTCAATAGCTCAGTGCATAGTTTCATAGTTCAGTTTCCCTTACTGCTGGATATTTTTCTCACATTTGAAGTTTCCTCTGACTTTAATAAATGATAGGGCCCTTGAGAGGTTTATTTACTTGTCCATTCATTCTTTGAACAATCATGTGTTGACTATCTGGTATAGATCAAGTAATAAGACATTCCTTAAACCTGATGTACATTTAACAGAAAGACCATCACATAAGCAAATGATTGTTATAATATCTGGTAAGTGATAGGCATCATGCAGGACTGAAAGTCCATTGAAGTGGTGCCAATCTCATACAAGAATTCTCTTGGAATTCACTCTTCTATGGAAATTTCAATGGTGGTCCACTTCCACAGATAAGAGCATCTGGGACTGCGCAAAACACGTGTGCAAACGATATCTGTTGAATGAAAAATTACTCCCCAAATGACATTATCAGTGAACGTTTTTAGACAGTATCATATAAATATTAACTTCGTAGTAAGATGTACATATAGTTTAAGGGGGCTGGAGTGATATAATAGCGGGTAGGGCATTTGCCTTGTATGTGGCTGATCTGGATTTGATTCCCTCCTCTGCCCTTGGAGAGCCCAGCAAGCTACTGAGAGTATTCCACCCACATGGCAAAGCCTGGCAAGCTACCCGTGACGTGTTCGGTATGCCAAAAACAGTAACAAGTCTCACAATGGAGACGACACTGGTGCCCACTCGAGAAAATCTATGAACAATGGGAGGACAATGCTATACAGTGCTGTAGTTTAAGGAGGAAGATCAAAAGTACACTTTTCCTTAAGATGAAGTGGCCGAGAGAACAAGTGATTATGGATGAAGAAAGAAAATTTCTGAGTATTTTCAGAGTGTTGGAGTCAGATCAATTTTGTCTAGTCAGAGGCCTTCCCTGAACTTGTGACTAAGTATCACTTTCCCCATCTATCAAGGGAAATGATAATAGTGATTATTTGGGGTTGTAAGTTTATTCACTTGTGAAGGGAACTAAAACATCATTGATGTAATGGGGTGAAAGAAAAAGTGAGGCCAAAGCAATAGTACACCCTGGTAGGGTACTTGCCTTGCATGTGGGCAGCCCTCCTCGCTTTGATCCCCAGCATCTCATAAGGATCGCTGAGCACTGTCAGAAGTGATTCCTGAGTGTAGTAAAGCCAGGAGTAAGCTCTGAGCACCACTGGTATGGTCCCAAAACCAGAAAAAAAAAAAAAAGAAAGACAAAGCGAAGAGAATAAAAGAAATGGACATGAATAAGACACTAATGGGAGAGATGAGAGAGAAGTGGGCATCACATATAAGCATGGCAGAGTCCTCATTATCCTTTTCTAATTTATACTATTTCTAATTTATACAGGGTCGGAGCGGATAGCACAGCGGGTAGGGAGTTTGCCTTGCACGCGGCCGACCAGGGTTCGATTCCTTCGCCCCTCTTGGAGAGCCCAGCAAGTTACAGAGAATATCTCACCCACACGGTAAAGCATGGCAAGCTACCCATGATGTACTCGATATGCCAAAAAAAAAAAAAACCCAGTAACAACACGTCTCACAATTTGTCATGAGATGTTACTGGTGCCTGCTCCTGCAAATCGATGAACAACGGGAGTACAGTGTTCTAATTTATACTAATTTAAAATATTTATTACCCATAGACCAACCCCAAAACATAAAGGTAATATGAGTCTAAGAATCCAATGAAAAACTCTTGAAAACTTTAAAAGAGAAACACAAATATAAGGTGGTGAGTGGACGAAGGTACCAAAGGTTAACTCAAAGATAAGGTAAAACCTTGAGAGTTTTCATTGAGTTATTCCCCCGCAATAAGCTTCCTCCTATCCCACAATCAATACAGATCCTAGCCAGATCCCCAAGAGTAGAGGTGGTCACCCAGATAGCCTCTTACTCACCTAAGGTAAGCCTAGTCCATTTTCCACACAAAGCTACTTAAGCTCACAGTCTCAGCAGCTCCCAGTATAAATCTGAGCACCACTAGATCTCAATCTCTGAAGATGGGGAGAGCCCTTCCCAATCACTCTTCAGCTTTTGGGGGGTCGGTTGGTCTCAGGGACAGCTGACAGCCTTTTTTAGACAGCCAGCTGCTCTGTGATACACAATGTCCCAAACGCTCCAAGTCTGGTGGGTGATTCTTTTGTATCCATATAAGCAGCAGTTGGAGGAGAATCGATCAGTTCCTTTGGTGGCCTGGGGGTGTCAAGCCTGCCATTCAAATCACTGCCACCATAATGATTAACCATTGTTTTAGTGCATATATCTGCCAGGCAATTGCTTTTCTTTCTTTCTTTTTTTCTTTCTTTGTTTTAATCATTAAAAAACAATCAAGTTTCACACTCGAGCAATGTTTGCTTCAAATCACATCAACATATTTATTAGCTCCCTTTAGCGCAACAGGAAGTCTTGGAAGAGGGGCTGCTTAAGATAACGTTCTGATTTTAAGGAATTGATGATGCTTTGGGGAAGAGGTTTACATGAAAAACAATTATAGGGGGAAAGTTACATAGTACATAAAGCACTACTTCAGTGTCACAGAGTGGCAATTTTACTTCCTGGATTTTATTACTGTGGGGATGGGGTGTAATAAAGGAGGCACCGCGGGTAGAGATTTGGAAGAGTGAGATATTGGAGCGGGAAACTGGCTTTCTTTTCTGGCAGGTAACAGAAAAACAACCAAGGGGGTGGACAGGATGCGCACTCCATTAGAGTGGCCGCCAGACCCTGACTTTTTGACAAGAGAGTCCATCATTTAGGATAAATGTTAAAGGTGGTTTTAAAAGGGCTTTTGCTTCGGGATGAAAGATGTGGTCCGGGTGATAGAGTGAGATATTCAAAGGTCTTGTCCGTGCTGTGGCTCGGAGCCACATTTTAAACCCGGTTTTCAAGTGGGTTGACCCAAAGAGCTCCCAGGGCTGCCCAAGGGAAGGTCGCAAACTAGACTCTTTGGGAAGGCTGTCTCTGGGGTGGAGAATTAGGCTGATCTTTGCATCCAAGCCCGACATCGGGGCGGGGTGGGGTGGGTGCAGGGGAGGGGGGCGAGCCCCCTTCTCAAAACGTTCTCTTTCTCTCGGATGGAACTTGTTTGTTTCGCCCTGTGCAAAGAAAGCAAACACCCAAAGCCACAGGCGGGGAAGAGGAACCGAAACTCGGCGTCAGCCCGGGAGGCTGTGGCTTGCAGCCTGGAGAGCGCGGGGGCCCTCCCGGTGCGGGGCGCGCTGAAGCCGGGTGCCGGGTGGGCAGCGCAGCCCTCAGCGGGAAGCCCCGGGGCCCCGCGCAGCGCTCGAGGGGGGGGGAAAGGGGAGAGACGCCCCCAAGCGGTGTGCTGGGGTGCAGTGGTGGTGGTGGTGGTGGGGTGGCAATCGGAGGAGGTGAGAGGCGGGCGAGTGGCGCGGGAGGGGTCGGAGCCCCGGGGAGAAGCGAGATCGGTTATAAGGAGGTGGTGGGGAGGGGCAGAAGTACCGGGGGGCGTGAGTTGCGCCTGGCGGGGATCCTCAGGCGTGAGCACGGGGCGTGCAAGGCTGCAGGAGAGGACGGGCGAAGGCGGGGAGAGGGGCAGGTGCCGGGAGGTCTGCAGTGAGCGTGAAGACACACACTCCGCCTCCTGCGGGGAGGGGAGCTGGGGGGTTGCGGGGCGCGTCCCTCCTATCCCCGACCCTGGGGTCTGACTGGCACCTCGGGCCGAGCAGGCGGGAGCGGGCCCCGGAGTCCGCAAGCGGGGAGGGCGCGGCGTCAACCGCCGCGATTGCGGCGGCGGCGGCGGCGGCGGCGGCGGCAGCGGGGCGGGCGCGAGGGCGCGTGCGCGCTTGCGCGGGCGGGGGTGACGGGAGCGCGCGTGCGCGCCGCCGGCCAGCCGGGGCGTCTGGTGCTGCTTGTGACGGGCGGCGGTGGCGGCGGCGGCGGCGGCGGTGGCGTCCGAGGCTGCCGGCTGCTGAAGGCTGCTCCAGACACCTGCGGCGGCGGCGGTGGCGACCCCGCGGCGGGCGCGGAGATGTGGCCCCTGCTGGCGGCGCTGTTGTTGGGTTCGGCGTGCTGCGGTGAGTGTCCCCGCTCCCGGCGCTGCGGCTGCTTGGCTGGCCGCCCCCGCGGGCCCCCGAGGGCGCCTCCTTCCTCGCCCGGAGCTCCAGGGAGGGACGCGGGCGGGCCTCGGGGGTAGCCGGGCGCCCTCTTCCCATCCCTTCCTTTCTCTTTCCCCTCCCCGGGGGCGAGGACGGGGCTCTTCTCTGATTCCCCCCCCCCCCGCTCCGCGATCCCCTCCGGACGCACAACACCCCGAGCAGGCTTCCCAGACGCGCACCTCTGCGCACCCACCAACCCGAGGCAGGAGAGGCGCGACGGGAGCGGAGGGCTGGCAGTGGTCGGGGACCTCCTTTTCTTTGCACCCCTCTCCTGCCTCCGTGCTTGGGGTGGGGGGGTGGTGGTGGTGGATGAAGGCGGGAGAGTGGGAGGGCCCGGGCCTCTCGGCGGTGGAAGTGCGCATTTTGGCCAAGTCTGCAAGACACGGTCTCTCCGGCGAGCCCCCCGCGCAGGAATATAGAAGTTAAGGACACAATGAAGTTTAATTTCCGACGCAGCGTTGAATCAGAGACTCTTTGGCCCCTGCTGCTTTGGGGCCCGAAAAAAAATCATCTTCCTGGAAACTCTCAAACCCTCCCCCGCCCCCGCCCCTCAACCACTTTAATACGTTGTGAATTGTGCGTTAAGCCTCTTCCCCCCACTTGATTTGGGAAGACCGATGTAGAAGAAGAAAACAAGCAGATCTCCTGTGAAAATGAAGACGACCCCACCGAGGATTTTATGTCTTGACGCCCAAGGCGCGTCCCCCCCACCTCCCGCCACCCCCCATCCCCCCCCACAGCTCTGGGAATCCATTTCGCTTGTTTAAAACGTGGACTTCATCAGTAGAAACTGAGGGAGGAGCAGCAATGTTTACGGCTTCACAGCGCCGGGGATGATTAATATCTACAGCGCCCTTTTGAACTTTTTGTAACGTTTAGAATTGAGTTTGGATAACAGTAACAGGCTGTTGCTCTATTAAATAGAGAATGCCAAATTGATTAGGTTTTAAATTGACGATCATTAAGCGTTCTGACTTCTGGCTATTTTCGAGATGCCCTTAAGACACTTTTCCCACTCTGAAACATCTGGTGTGGTGGAGCTGTTGATAGTCATTATTTCTGTTATCTAAAGGGTTGGTGTTAGGTAAGGTAATGTTTCCTGTCATTGTTTTTCAGGGCTTGTATCCATTACTATCATTTGTAGGTTTAAAAAAGAAAAAAGATGATGCTTCCAGAAACCTGTTGTGTGTTAAGAAAGCCTTCATTTACGCATTTGTAATGGGAAAATTCACCGATTCAGACTAGCGGTATCAAATTGAGTCTGAAGAACGGAAAAAGTGTAAAACCTGTACAGTTTCAAAAAACAGGGAGACTGTTTTCAAGTGGATGAGAAAGAACTGCTGGAACGGCACTTTAGGGGATAGGATTTCTATTAGGCCTCCTTTAGTAACATTTAAGATCATGTGTAATTAGCATTCATTTACATAAAATATTAATGCGCCCAAATCCCTACAGAAACATAGAATTCAGAATTTATGGCATGTTATTGTGCTTAGTAATAACCTGAAGAGAACGAGAAAATAGAAGCATTATATATTTGAGTTGTATGAAGTGTTGACTATAACAGTGTTTGTGCTAAGAGATAATACATTTTTTATCTTCTTCATATGTCATTTTAAAAGGACATGTATGAACAAATGTTAACAGTCTCAAAACACAAGTAATCATAAACCAAGATATTTGGTAGACTATTTAGAATGGTGAATAAGAAAAGTAAGTTGTGGATTAGTATGTTTATTTGGGTAGAAGTTTAATTTTGCTTTCAGTTGAATTGTAAATGACTCAGGGTTTTAAAAGAATTCATGTACTGTTAAGCCACTAGAGTTTCAGTTGCCCTTTGTAGTAAAAGAGGTTATCTAAAATTCCCCTTCCATCTAATAAAAACTGGCGAACTGCAGCCTCCTGTGTTGTTTAACAAGATGTAGAATAGATACTATGCTCCTTTCTGTCATCTCTTCCCCAATGTGTCTAAATATACCTTGTTTAAAAGCCCATCAACAGTTTTCACCGGTTTCACTAACTGGTAAATGAAACCTTGCTCAAATAAGGACCATGAGTGATATGATCTGCCTTCTCAGTGGCTGAATGGCATTTCTTTGTTCAGAATAAGCTTGAAGAATCACGAGTACAGATGATTAAATTAAAAAACACTTTTTGCTTACTTACGTGAAAATATTTTATTTTTTCCTAAAGAATTAACTGTTTTTAAACATAAGTTGCCATTTTTAAGGGAGTAAACGTCTATTTGAAAGTACTAATTTATGGACCTCCCCAGAAGTCTAGAGGCAGTATGTGAGAACACTACACTAAACGTCTGCCATTAGGACACTTGCTCATGCTGTCATCTGTATTTTGGCAGATGTTTTATCTTTGCCACTGAGTTGCTAATAGAGATTTGAAAGGGCAGGTTCTAAAGATGAAAAATAGATGTTTTCCACCAGTTTGATGTCAATTCTAAATTCAAAATAATCACAGTGGCTTCAAAATGAAGTGTGACTCCTTAATGTTTTTCAACTTTAGGTATTTTTAAAATATATATTAAAATTCTTTCTGTGACATAATTTTCAGGTAATCATCTTACCCATCTTGTAGGTTTTTACTGTCATGGCTCTTTATACAGATAAAAAATACTGTACTTTTGTATCTTCCTTCTTAATATAACACACTCTTGGGTTGCAATAAAGCTACTTTCATTTTGTGTACGAGGGAAGATATTTCTTCTGTGATAAGAGAGCAAGAAAAATAGTATAGGGTCAATTTTACTAAACTCATTGCAGTACTAAAGTAAAAAAATATGAAGCACTCGGGGAATTTGATTCTGATATTCCTAGCCTCAGACAACAAACCTGACTTCTCCCCACCTTTTTTTTTCTGCCTACTGTGGAGTTGAAACAGGAATTAGAAGATTGGAAAATATACCTTCTCCTGAATATTTTATTCCGTACCAATGGAGTAATGGTACAACACTCAGAATCTGGTCAACTTCAAGACTTGAGTTTTAGATTAGAATAAATGTGCATAGTTAAAAACATCACATGCTCTGGTTTAAAGGCAAGGAAAAGGATTTGGCAAGTACAGGGTTTCTCCAAATTACTTTTTCCATCCCAAGAAACTGAATGTATATGCTGCTTTGAGCACTTTATAAACCCTCTTTGGCATATGGACAAATTTTAGATGGTATGAATCTTAATAACTTACAGTATATAGAGATAAGGGTTTTTTTTAATCCTTTGGTGGTACTGGATATCATTTAAGAACTTGATAAGACCATGATTCATCTTCATTAAGAATGCATTATACTAGGCTAAGAAAGAAGATACAATAAACCATGATTGTTTATTATAATAACTAATACATTTATATATTACAATATTATTATTACTGAATTAAGACTGCCTTGCCCCCATGTAATTCTTGGTCAGCTAATTCTATTCTTAGAAGACTATTTTTCAATCTAGTGGAGGAGAGGGGTTTTCTTTGAATCCAAGCTAAACTATATATGGATATTCTGCTTAAAACCCTCCAGAACTGATTTGATATCGTTGAAGAGACAACTAAACAAATGATCCTTGTTGTCTCTAATTTTAACCCAATTCAGTTGAGATTTCAATTCTTTATATCAGAGCCTTGGTCTGATGGCTAAAACTGGTAGAATCCATTTCTGGAAACTCACTTTAGTCATGAGCTTGCTTCATTCACCTTTGTGCCTGCTGGGCTTCATAGCTTTTCCAGAACATCCATTCCAAGCAGATAATTAACTTCCTACTCTACTGTTAAAAAAAAAAATAGTGATGTGAGGTGTGGACTCTATCAAATTTACTTCCCACCTCTGTTAAATTTATCTATAATACCTAAGCAACCTTCAGCGCATTCCCCTTCCTCTCCTCATTTCAAGAGAATACCCATTCATCTTTCTAAGTCAGGATCACATGTCTATGGCTCTTTCAACTTGAATCATTTTGCAGGCCTGCTCAATTAGCGTCATTCTTTGGTGCTCTTATAACTTAGATCTTTCTCTCCTTATTGACTCTTTTTCAGCTTAACTTGCAGACATACTGAAGTTTTATCCCAAAGTAAAAGACAAGCAAATAAGAAGGGAAAAAAAAATCTTGCCCTTGTCCTTGCCTTCACACTCTGTTTTTACACTGCCAAGTTTATTGTTAAGAGAATTATTGCCTTTTCTTTCTTCCCTGCCATCATCACCCAACTGTAACCTGACTTTTGATCCCATTAGTCTATTGACATTGCTATTGCAATAAAACTAATGATGTAATTTTCAATATAGAGGTTGTTTTTACTCATCCTACTTAATATCTATTCTGCTAATAGTAAGATCTTTCTCGGTGTTGGCCATGTTGTTCTTTACTGCCTTACCCATTTCTCTCACTTCTTTTTCTTGCTATCTTTGTTTGCTTTTCTTTCAGATGTGCTTCATAAATATCTGTGTTCTTCAATCTATTCTTCTTTGGTACCTGTTCTGTTTGCAAGGATTCTCTGGGAAAAGTTGCTTATATTTCAATGACCAGCTCTATTCCGCCCCCCCCCCCCCCCACACACACACATCCCTGGTATCTACTGGACCTCTCCATATCATACTATAGGCCTACTAAATATTAAAAGTCCCTACTAAATGTCTTTCCTATAGTTAATCCTTAGCATAACTACTTATACATAGATATAAACTTAAGTAACAGCTCAGATTCTTCCTTCTCTTCTTCGTTTCCACAGTTGACTGATACTGGTTTTATCTCTTTGATTTCTGCTTTACTGTAATTTTGGGGCCTTCTCTAGTTTTCATTTATCTAGACAGTTACAATGATTTCTCAATGGATTTTGGTTACTCTTTTCCTCCCCTGCCCACAACTTACCATTTACACTACATTATTAATTTTTAAAATGCAAATAAATCTGAATGGTTT